ATCAAAATTTCTCTCTTGGTACGGCTCCAAACTTCGAACTTCGTCAAGCCCAAATCATAAAACAACGTTTTTTTCCTTTTCGCTGGGGGAAGAAACAATCCTTAGATAGCACTTTTTACGGAGAATCTAACAGTATACAATTTAATTGCAAAAATTCAAGCGGCAAGGGGAAAAACCATAATTTTGTAATTTGAGCGTGACGATAAGCGAAGTTTGGAGCCGTACCAAGAGAGGACTGCTGACCTTTGATAAGGTGTACCATAACAGCTTCGCAGAACACAAAGAGTAGTCTGCAATAGTGGAATGCCTCGCTGCCGCCTCCTCAGGTTCCGGAGAAAAATTTCTGCAAATAATGGAAAATGCCAAAAAAAAATCGACTTTTTATTTTGCCGTGAATTGATGTCATATTCTCAATGGAACCTGTAGAGAGGAGTGTTGAGTGCAGAGACCGTAGATGTGGTCATCTACAGCCTCCAACTCAAAAAAGGAACGACGGATACTGAACAAAACCAACAATCATTTCCACATTGTACTGAGTAGCGACGCCGACCATGGCTGGTAAGGGCTAACAAGGGACCACATAGGGCGAAGTCACTGCGTTCGTTACGGTTTTCGTATCTGGGAATTTGTCCCAGTGGGATCTGAATTGATCATAGAAAACAGTTTACAGGAATCGAAGGCAAGTGACAAAGGGCGACTAGGCAAGATCTAGTGACGTTCGCCTTCTAGAAATCCCTGCTTTTTCAGCACCCTCCACACCCTATAAAACCACACATCCTTTCTATCACACCATGTACCACAGTGCCAGGCCTTCACTGTGCCATCAAAGAGCGCAATATTTCGATCTGTTTTTGTCTTCCTAAAACCTCCTATAAATGTCACCCTTTCTTCGTGGCCAGCCGTCTACGGCTCCTTTGAGACGAACAATTATGAAAAGAAGAACCATATGCGAAGATTGCGTTATCTTTGATACTGTTTTCATTATTATTCAGCAACATCAGTAGGTACTGTTCAGAGGATTGGACGACTAAGCAGATTACTTATCGATAGATAGGACCTTTCGCGAGTAAACCAACAAGAGAATCGAATCCATCGGAGTGGAAACTTGTCTGTAGACGCGCAGTCCGACTTGTGCATACTTATGCGCCTTCAGCTACATCTTGTTCCGTAGTATAACTGAAGTACGCATAATTTTGAAAAACATGATTTTTACTAGCTTCCATACGCGGCAAATTGGGGTCGCCTTTCATCCACAAGATCTTATGCCCATGTTTCCGTGTTGAGCAAAATACCCGCACTGGTAAGTTTCATGCTCGCGAGGTGAAGCGCGCGGTCTGGCGTGAACTGATACGCTGAGATGACATTACGATGAATCTGTCTATATGCAAATAATCTTATACTTTACATCAGCAAGTAAGAAACTCATTAGATCTAGAATAAAAAGATCATAATGATAACCTGTATGATGATGGGTGTGATGTTTCGATTGCCCATGAAGAAATTTGACGACGACACAATCCTATAAAATCACTTGCTGAATGTTTTTTGCACTGCGGATCAAAATTCTTCGAAATTGTATAGACCCCATTAATTTATCATTTAATGAGATTGCGCAGCCAACCACCTCCTGATTTCGTTGTTCGATGAAAAAGTCGCCAGAATCAAATTGTTTTCCAAAAGACCTCACAGTTTATTAATGGTAATGGCAGGAACAGTCAGGTAAGCGTGAAGACTTGTGCGATAAATGTAATGGCGGCGATTTATGAGTATTAAAATATATTTAGCAACTGCGAGACAGTGGAACTCCATGCAGCGACATCAACTAGTGTTCTGAATGATGCTGAAGTGTGTGTTGCGTACATGGCACTGCATTCTTAGAGTCATAATCTCACAAATGAAATCCTTTTTAAACTGTTTCGAAGTGTTGAAGTGAATGCTCCTAGCGCCTAATCTCCTTCAGACTATAACGATGATGTTCTATACGTTGTTGTAGGAGCTATGTCTTCAGGAGTCATCGTGAGATGCTATAAGGGACTGAGATTCAAAGTGCAAGAGACGTAATTGTCATTTTCAGAGGTTAGTCGTAGTACAGGCATAGTTCACATGTGAAGAGCTCTTCCTGTAAAGCACAGAGATTCCTCGATATCTGCTGCAGAAAGTATCAGCTTACGATAAACATGATTTACCTCTTGTTAATTCTCGAAGCTACTGTTTACGATAAAAAAGTTTCCTTAGCTTCCTCAGCATGAGCCGGGTAACGGAACTTCTCCCCGAATTTCCAGGGCCTGCGGCAGTAGTTCCGCGGCGACATTCGAAACCGTTAGGGTCGACGTACATACCTAAGTGTTATGAGGTATCACCAACCCTCTGACGACAGCACACCAACTTTTTGCATGCCTGGAGAGGGACTTTTTGAGATATCCGCTTCCGCGGCTCAACCTTGAGCCGTGCTAGTTCTTTTTTTCAAGTATAAGCAAGTTCTGCTTTTTTTCAAACTTTTTTTTTCATCGTTCAGTTCCAAATAGGTACAAATTGGGGAGTTCCCAGTATTCTACTCTCGATAATCCTAGTTTCACACTCAACATAGCTTTAGTAGTCAAAAATGGATGAGCTTGCAGTAGATGATTTGGCGAGTGGCTGAAAGTTTATTGGTCGGGGACCATGATGAATTGGAGGAGCGTTGACCTCACAAGATAGGGTATCTGATAGTAAATGATAGTGAGAATTTATCTGTATCAGGCAGCAAGACTGAAGACGGATGAATTGGTGATGCAGAAGTTTACAATGACATGGTATTCACTCGACAATTTGATCCACATGATTGTTCACGTAGTTGCCATAGACATCCTTAACCCTTTGAGACAGCGCGATTCAAGTGTGAGCCGCATTTTCGTCAAAGAGTTAAAGATGCACCAGATAGAGCACAGCACATAGAATGAACATTCAAGAAATAGTGAAGGTTGAGCTTTCGAACAAATAGTGACTCATGGCGACTGTGGGCGCCTCCATATTATGCCCGGACGCCGGCGTCAGGACGTCCGAGTATCTCTTACATGAGCACACCATTCAATAGCGTCCCGATGAAGAATAGTACGCTCACCTGTACACTCATTCNCTATAATGGAATCTTTCAACTCAAAACTGTCCTTTTTACCTGTTTGCTATGGACACGAACACTATGGCATAAGTCATCGTCTTGCAAAGTACCGACGGTCCCCACGCTGATATTATTAACGCCTACGGAAGGAACCAGTTCCGATCATTTTGGATCACTGTAGCAAGTGTTTCAGCTCATAGCTGGTCCAAATATCCTATATCCATGCCAATTCTGTGATAACCCCGAGCAAACACCCACTCGATACCTTTTAAAGCTCCAAAATCCTTCGAATTCGGCGAATTTCGCGCCTTCTTCGCCTTATTTGCACGAATCTGCACAACAACTTCCATTATTTTCCTCATTCTATTTACCTTAAACTGGTTCGGAACGCAGAGGGTCGCAGTCATCTGCGAGAAAAGTTCCATCTCACGACGCTATCTCCTGACCGCTACGCCATCAGTACCATGGTCCTGTACCTTCCGTTTGTCGATTCAGGGCCCATCAACTTTCCCACCAGCTGAACCTTATCTACTGCGACTGACTGATTTCCGAACGACACTCTAATAGTTAGTGAACCTAATATCCATGGATGGTATACAGAAGCAAAGAGATTAATACCGTAAAACATAACGAGTCTGCCAGTATGCATGAACACATTCTCCATAAGCTGCTCTCAAAATGGAATTATAACCGAATGATCGAAGCCAGTTCGATACTATCGTTGTGTCGTACAAACATACGTAGATTTAAACTAACCACCGTGGTAGAGTGGAGCATTTGTAGTACTTGGCGCCACATAAGTAAGTCATTATCGACGAATCGGGAGATTGACGACGCGTCATCATATGCGCGACCTGAAAATTGCGTCTAAGCTTGGAATGCCTTCTGTTTCTGAATTTATTCTATGTAATGAAAAACAATAAAGCTTTCTGAATATAAGGCAATTCATTGCTTACAATATATGAATGACGTAATTCAAATGATTTTCATTCCAGACAACATGGTGAGATCGACCACAAAAACTTCAGTACCTACATTTCTTCATTAAAAGGAAAAAATACGGATCCTGCTAAATTTGTTTGCCACAAAGTAGTAAGTTTTCTGTATAGTGACGAGCTACGAAGTCAAATCCTCAAACGCAATCTTTAGAACTTTTCCTTAAAAATGAAACCCATTCCAATTGTAGAGCCAAGGTGACATAAGGTACACAAAAACAACTGAAGTTGGAACACGAAAACATAATATTTGTTCGGAAGATTACCTTTCTCTATCTTTCTAGAGTTGTGGAGAACTCTTTGAAGGGATCTTGACGATAATACCTTTTGAACACATATTACGTTGTCGTGAAAGCCCAGTTTGATTAGTTCGAAAAAACAATGAGACACCATCTCGTTTTATAACTCTTTCAGGCAAACTTTGGATTCCTCCTGCGGAAGAGTGTTCCGGCTCTTACTTGAGAAGTTGCTCAACCACTGATCCGTGCCAGTTACAACGGCAAACTTTCTCCTTGCATGGCAGTAGAAAGCGTCAAGAAAAGCTGGAGCTCAAAATCGAGCGGCTTCTGACGAGTCACTAATGCGGTTGTTGGGGCGTTGACATGTGTGAATCAGATGCTATGATTCGAACGTCTTTCTGGAATTCGAGCAGGTAGTTTATGTAGCTGCTGGCAGTACAGGTCCGTGCAATGACAACATTCGGTAGCAGCAGTTCCAGCTGCTAGATGCAGATCTCCTTCGAAGGTAACATTGCGCGGCAGAAGTTGTAGTGAATGATTCACTTGCACTTTTGTCAGACACATATTATGACCTTCAGGTGCTCAGGCTGCTCCCCTAGTTATCCGTCTCGGCGATGCTTGATATTGACATACGAACACCATTTCTCATCTTCTGTGACAAGCGACCGCAGCCAGTCATTTGTGCACATGTACAAGGGCAATTAAATTGCCACCTTTGCGCGTCGCTGATGATCGCTTTCGTACAAGTCAATAGGTGTCCACTGTGCCAATTTGTTCATCTTAACCATCCGGTAAAAGTGATCAGCGATGAAGTTAACAACCAAGGCTCGCACTGTTCACGCTTAGTTTGGCCTATGTTGTCGACAACTTGTTGTCTATGCAACGAGGTGTCGACTTCAGATCGTCATCCAACTCGGGCTGAATGTTGGAGATTGAAGTCTACTCCANGTACAGTTTCACTCGTCGACTGGAGAATTCTGCTGATCATCCAGATTTGAAGGTGAATAGCATAGTGCAGAAGGTCACGTACACGTACACGTACACGTACACGAACGTACTTTTGTTTAACTTGTATTTTCCGAAAGCGAGCCAAGCTGACTTGACAGCTGTCGACAATAGCCCCTATCAAGTACCCCTATTGACCCTTATTACCCTTATTGCCTGTGCCTTATCCAAAATTTTTCGACGGTGTAGGAGCAAGGGTGGCATAAGTGGAGGAAGGGATCAAATTCATTTTATGGAGACATTTTTATCGTGAACTGAGCCGTTAAGTTCATTAGTAAGCTGATGTTTCCACACGCTTTGTCGAATTAGGGCATCATTCCTCCGTCTGCTCAATGTTCGGTGTTGTAGGAATGGTGTTGTTTACCAGGGGGAGATGTTGTAAATAGCTTTCTGCAATCTCATGTTTTACCTTGATGCACGATTCATGAGAGCACCACAAGAAACTTGGACAAGACTGTATCACCCTGTTAAACCCTTTTTGACAATGGCCTTGCAGCGCGGTCCTGTTGTAGAGTTCACTACGCATCCTTGTTACAGAGTAGGAACACCCCAGTTGTCCAGGGCATCATTTGCCGATGCTGCCTTGAAAGTATCAAAGGTCTTCTTCAAATCGAAATCAAATCCATATATATATATATACAGTAGCGCTCAAAAGTCTTCGGTGAAATGGTTCTTCAGTCGTACTTTTCAGTCGTAACTCCTTTCCTACAGGACCTAATCATGCGATATTCCTATATTTGAAGCGTGGGTGTATTGTGAATATTCACCACTATTAACCTGCAATTTGATCATGTTCCAGATATGCTAAAGAGCATGAACATAAAATCGACTAAAAATGCAGATGATGGTCCTTCTAGAATCTCTTTCTTTTTTGTCATCTCTAAAGTGTACGAGCTGTAACGCCGAACCTACCGCAACAAACACCTTGTCCTATCTGTGGATGTTGCAGCTTCGCAGTCAAATAGTGTTGGGCAGGGTGAAATATGCCTTAGTTAAACATATCCAAATTTCGCGCGATTCGCTCTACTAAGAAAAAAGTTATGAACGAAAAAGCGTCAAAGCATTTCACCGAAGACTTTTGAGCGCTTTTGTATATATAGCGCGCTATTGGGGAGTTTTTGGTGTGAAACCTTTCTCTGTTTCTATTCCATTCACCTTGAACCTGCGTTTGAATTACCGCAAAAATTCTGTTTTACCCATTCCATCATTCTACCATATCTCTATCGTTATTCGCGCCATAGGAGATCTGGAGCGAAAGGCATTTCTCATTGGTTTAATGTATCGGAAAGTATTCTTCCACGAATTATTACAAGATCGACGGAGTATACAGACTTAAGGACCGTTTGTGAATTAGAGAGGTACTTCTGCTACCTCTACAATTAATATTGAGAAACATCTGTGCTATTTACAATTCTATATGTTAATGCAAAGAGCTGCAAATGACGGATCAATATCTACGGAATCGATACTCGAAAATGTTACAAAATCCTTGCTGATATAGAATTTTGAGATCTATTCAAAAATCAACGTACTTTCTTGAAGAAGTCCACTGTTACCGGACCAGCTCTAGCGAAGAATGTCGACCCACAAATCCACTGCGGCATAAGACGATCATAAATTGGGAACTGAATAAATACAAGTAAATGTTCGATGTTAAATGTGAAATGGTTCATTCAGATCACACTTTGGTAGATGCTCGCCTTGTTCACTTATCACTTGTGAGTTATTATACTTAGAGGCACACACTAGCCGAAAAGTTGTCACACAAACTTTCGATCATTTGGTTTAAAAATAGCTGCAGTGAGTCATCGATAAGACTGAAGTGATTGAAGTCACGCACACAGACCGATACAACTGCTCTCTTCCGTTTTGATCTCTTCCGTCTTGGAAGTTTCGAATGTGGTGATGAAATTTACGAGATATAAAATCATAACATTATATTCTTCAAGGCTACCAATGTACTCGTACTATGAGTTACGAGGTTTCTTCATATATACCCACGGCACTAGTGCCCATTTGAGGTCGAGCTCGATTTTGGCTCCCCTTGTAGCGTCGCATCGAGCAAAAGGTGATGCGTAATAGCCGGGGTACAATGGCAGCGTTGTAGTGCATTGATCTGGCCCGGGTTCCCAGTCTACGGATGAGAGCATGCCTATTCTAGGAGAGTTTTTTCCAACCTTTTTAATCCCGTACGCTGTTGGTACGTACACTTAAGTGGTCTCGACTTTCTGTTCCGCCCGGACCATTTCTGCATTTATCCCGCATTTCATTCTTTTGTTCAGTAATATATTGTGACAGATACATCTTCCTCTCGACATTTCCCTATTTCGAGTAAACCGTTAATTCGACTGAAAGTTGAAAAATTTACTTGACACAATCGCTCCCTGTAAAAGGAAAAGCATTGAATGAGAATCAATTATTATGGTGTTACAAACATATACCAGCAAAATTTATCGAACGATAAGAAAAACGCAACAAAATGACGAGAACAAAGTGGAAGATGGCTAGTTTTCCCTCTGCAGTAGGCGGACCATAGACCATACTTGGAACAAGCAAGTTTATTTCTATGTATGCACCTGGCTATATTAGTGAGTATAAGTAAGTATAAGGACTGTACAGTGCTCTCGCAGAAGATGTTTTGCTTGTAGCAAAATTGGTTTGCAGATAATCAATGGGAGGTGTAAAATTTTTGCAAGCCTCACAAGGTTTGCCGAGTTATGGAAAAAAAGGCCCGAGTATGAGTTAGAGTCAAATCCGAGGCCAAAGTTTTGTCCATATCTCGCCAAACCTTATGAGAATTTTAGAAGCGTTCTGAAGCCAAATAAGAGCGGCTAGTAAAACAACAAGTCGAAAGAAGCTATTTCACAAGCCTGTAGCAAATATTTCAGAACTTTTATAAGAATGGGAAAAATTCATACACACGGGATGCAAGGCCCTCATGCCAGGCCTGCGACTCCATTACCTTACCTACCGCTGCATCGCTGCATGTGTGCTGCAACGACCTGTAATCGATATACGCCCGACAAAATCCCGCACCACATGGAAGACCGTATCGCAGATCTTGAGTTTGGATTTTAGAACAGCGTCCGAAAGCACATATGTGGGTAAATGCTGCGTGGCATATGATACAGCCACTCATAAATTTCACCAAAATTCACATTTCAGAGCACTTTAGAAAGAGGCACAACATGAGAATTGTGCCCTACCGTAACTCGTAGACCAACAACAAGTTCCATCTCAGTAACGTGGACAACGTCCCCTTCATTTGTTTCGAAAATGACACCTTGTCGCGTTGTGTATTGCCAAATGATACAGCCGCCTCTTATTTTCTCGTAATATTAAGATTATTTATTCAATAGATTAGATACTATTCAAGCGCTTTGTGGGAAGAAGATTAGTGCGAAGGCACCAATTGTTGGAAGGAATTCAAATTGGTTGTGGATAACAGAAATCTCAGGTGCTTTCGGAGTCGCAAAACTTATCGTCAAAATGGGTTCTATGGCCGATGATGCTGATGTATTGGAAAGAAGTTTTAACGATTCAGTTCTTGAGGGCGACGCTGACGACTTTTGTGAAGCTGAGAAAGAGGATGGATTTGTTCCTGCAGTTGTGCGGAGCCAAGAAGGCTTTGATGCAGATGGCACCGAAGAATGTGAGAGCGACAGCGACACGGAAAATAATACCTGTACTGACGATGCACTTCCGAATAATAGATAGATTTCCAATGATCGACAGGAGTACATCAAGATGTGGAATACTGTTAAAGCCCTCTCGACTATTACAAGCTATTCTTTTTCGAGGTCCTGCTTGAGATGTTTACGAAACAAACGAATGTACAGGGTGCGGCAAACGTTCTGGCAAAGGCCGTTTCAGGTTCTCTATAAAAAATGAAGCCTACGATCTCGACAGGATCTGTACCACTATTTACGGCAAATCCTCTTCTATACATCCCATGAACGAGCCGTTCTTAAATGTTCCATTTTACAGAATGGTGACGAGCAAAGACCAATAAGCCTCCATCCTGCACCTCCATCTGGCTGGATGCACGGCAAAAACCATCTTCATACAGCTCCAGATTTCCTTATGAACGGTGTACAACAATGTCAACAGGTACAAGACGACAGGAATTATAGAGGACAAGCCCAAAAATTGAAGACTGAAGAGTGCAACGACAAAGGAGATCGTGAAAGACATTCGGGCTTTTGAGGTGGGTACTTCTGCCCGATCTGTTGGGAGGATTGTCACCAGCCACCTTCGACCTTGCTCTTATAAGATCAGAAAAGCTCACATGCTGACTGAGCGTGTGTAGAAAACTAGGCTAGAACGATCTAAGGAGATTTTAAAGCGATTTTCGCAGGCAGGGCACAGCACCATTCTTTTCACTGATGAATGTCTGTTTTCAACAGATCAATTTCTGATTACCAAAAACGATGGGGTGATAGCGGGAAGCCCAGCAGCCAGGCCAGCCGACATGGAGGGATTGCTCGGCGATCTGTACACCACAAGTCTTGATCGTTTTGGGGCAATCACATCGGACGGCAAGATGATTTTCTTGGAGGAAGGAGTCAGGGTGGATAGCAAGACCTACTTAAAAGGCGTGTTGGAGAAGGAGGTACTCCCCTGGGCAAAATCCCTTTTGACAATAGGACATGGACTTATCAGCAGGACTTAACTCCAGCACACAACTCCAAAATGGTACAGGGCTGGTGCGGAACGCACTTCCCAGACCTCATCTCGTCGGACAATTGGCCCCGAAACAGACAGCTCCAAATCCATTGTACCATTCCGTGTGGTCAGTTCTCAAGACGAAAGCCTATTCTACTAAACATAGAAGTTTGGATGCTCCACGTGCAACGCCCGTTGAAGCATGGGAGGATCCGGACAAAGACTACCTCCGTGTCGCCGTCGACGCATCTCCTAGGAGTATTTCAGCCTGTATTCGAAAAGACGCCATTTCGAGATCAAGGTTGTTTTTGTGATCTATATAGCTGTTGATAAATGCTGTTGGTGTAGTATCATGTATCGATCGATTTGACCGTTTTCACGATCATATTTACCATTGCCAGAACTTTTGCCGCACCCTGTATATGGCCACCAGGAAAATCGCTCTTGGAAAGAGGTAGATATTGAGGAACTGAAAAGATTTTTCGGTTTCTGCTTGCAAATGTCGAGGTGTCCCTTAGACAACCAGAGGAACTATTGGTAACTGAGTCCAAGAAATCTAGCGAGAAGTGGACATAGCCGGAGACTCTGTAGTGAGAGATCGTTTCGAACAACTCCAACGGAGCCTACACTTCGCTGATAATAGCGGTGCAGATGGGAGTAGCATATTGTACAAGATTGAACCTATTTTAGACTACTTGAACACCAAGTTACAGAGAATTTATAAACCGGAGAAGGGGTTGTGCAGAGATGAGTCTATGGTGCCGTTTCGCCGGCGGGTCTCCTTCTGGTAGTATAGTGAAGCCAAAATGCACAGATTTAGGATAAAGATGTTTAATTTGTGCTCCAGAGCAGGTTAACGCTGAAGGTAAAGGTCTACGCTGGGGGAGATTCAAGGAGAACGAGGACAGCAGCTGAAACCGTTGTGATAAAATTTATGGATAGATTTTCGAAGCAAGGCAGGGCTTGTGCATTGACAACTGGTACACGAGCCGACCGTTAGCCCACAGACTTCTGAAGAAGCGCTCTGACTCAGTCGGTACTTTCGGAAAGGTTTACCTTCAGCACTGAGGAAAAAAAAAGCTGGAAAGTGGTGAGCGCTTCTATCAGCAGAACCAGAAGGGACTGCTATTTCCAAAGTGGAGGGATCGAAGAATTATCCATACGTTTTCTACCAAATACTATGCAAGTTGTCAGCCTGGTGCGAAAGCTTTCGTCGTTGCCTACTACAACGTGATGAAAGGGTTTGTGGATCACAGTGACCAGATGGCCACTGACACGCCTTATCTAAGAAAGATGAACAAATGATACATCCGACTATTTTACCATCTGATCACCCAATCGGCTCCCGTTAACGCTTGGTTCCTCTGTTGTGAGAAAGTGAAAGGAACAAGATCAACTTCTTCAACGAGTCAATTGTCGATGCTTCCATTTATGACATCAATGCACCAGCTCCTACTAACAGGCCATCATCCAGGAGAATGCTTGTTCCTGATCCGCGAATGAAGTCCAAAGATAAAAGATTCTGTAAAGAATGCTAGAGCCTTACATTAAGTACCCATGGCAGAAAAGCGGCTAGAAGTTCTGCAAAGAAATCAAAACAAAGTGCGATAAATGCGATCATGTCGCCTGGAATGTTTTCCACTTTTCCCTAATTGTTGAATTTGGTAAATGATTCCAATTACATTAGCTTTCTAGCTGTGATTTGATATGATGTATGACTCCTCACTTGGTACTTGATATTTGCATGAAAACCTTAGATTCAGAAGGGTCACTGGTAAAAAACCTGAGTTTTCTGAATTTCGCTGACTTACAGTACTGTCGGTCATTCGATAAGCAGAACTTGCACAGCCTGTCTTGTGGTGTATTTATAGCACGTATTTATTGTATTTATAGCACGATCCCAACATCCCCAAGCCACCATACGCCAGAAAAAAATGTAGAAATGAGCAACGTATGAGGTGTGCTAAGTATGCCTAACCACCTATGGAAGAGAGGGTGGGGGAGGGGAGGTGGGGCGTGGTCTCTGGTGGGTGCATAGATTTGCTACGCTGGAAAAAAGTTAAACTGTCGTAGGATTTCAACTGCTTCCTTGATTCTTCATGTGTGCTTTTCTCCAGCAGAGTAACGAGTTTTGTTAAGTCTTGAAAGAAGACATGAACCCCATAAGTTTTTTGAAAAGAAACGTGCGTAATGGTTCCTGAGGACCTGCTAAAAGCGATAGTATGTGATTCCATAACGACCCGTTCTTTTTAAACTTTCATTCCGAGCAGTAGTTATTGAACAAACGATGTAGGAAGTCAAGGATGCGCCTGATCTTGATAGAAGATCGCATACGAGGAGTATCGCCGAGGATGTTACGAAAAGGAATTTAGGAGAAAGTGGGCGTTTTTTGAGATTACTTGTATTTCTTCACAATCCTACTCCAAACTGTGAAGGGAGCATAATGGGAGAAGATGAAAGTAAGTAGAACATCTTTCCAACAAAACTATCTGAACTTGTTCTTAGGACACTATCCTACTTATACAATCGGTCAGCGTGTCTGTTTGTGTGTTTGTTTTTATGTGCGTATGTGCGTGTGCGTGTGTAACCGGAAATTCCAGTCCCAATGTAGCTGAAGCATTCAAAATTGAAAGTGAGATAAACGGCAGGATGGGAACACTGATGGTAGGCGATAGGAAGTCGCAACAATCAATAGAACTGATAAGGAGGCTTGTAAAGCAAAAGGCTGAGAATCCTTAATTCCCTTCCTATTAGCGGTGATGCCTTAGCACTTTGGCAGGTGGTGTAGGATGTGATGCGACCGTTGATGACTGGTGACAGGGATTGGCAACAAGTGATAGGGACCGATAAGAACCCATGTAAGGCGAGACATATTAACGGTGAAGCTTTGGTAATTTGGTGGGTGGTCTGGGATGGGAATGATAGCGTATGGTGACACGTAGGATGTGTTAAGAACTGTAAAAGAGCCGTACAAGGCGAAAGTCACTGAATCGGTACCGCACTTTCCGTTAATAATGGAATCTTGGAATTTCAATAGGTTACTTAAAATGTGACAGGATCGTATGCACTCGGTGCTGAGGTGGTAATTATTGATACCCGCTGATAATGAGCTGTCAAAACTAAGACGCTGCGCTTTTCGTGTCAGTAGCAGAACATTGGAGCCTTGGTGGTGACAGTTGGTGCCACGACAGAAGCTGGTAAAACTGACAAGAGCTTGAAAATCCTCGAAAGGATAGAGCCACTATGATACTGGCATCAATAGTGGAGCCTTGACAGTTTAGTATGTGAGGTGCAGTGTAGTGGGATCACACGGCCGATGAGAGGAACTGATATGAGCTGATACCGACGGATAAGGGAGATTGCCAACTGAATTCAAGCCCGTGGTGTTCACGATTTATTTATGGCCAGTTGTGCTGCGCACGCTAATGCGTGCACCACCTGCCCACAACCGCACACCTACGGCTTGTTAGAGGACCAATATAAACAGTAACGGTTGACTTCATAACTGTTTCCTCGCCGTGCTCATGCGACATTCACAATCTTCGTCATGCCTGCGTGACTTTCTGAAAGGCGCACAAACGGACCCACAAACAGACACACAAAGTTACCGCTTTCTATCGGACCGCCCGGCTAACGCCGGGCTTCCCCTCTTCTTATGATAGAAGTCTTGATAAACGGCAAACAGCACACTCCTTTTTTGAAGCGAATGATACACATTCTCGATTCTCGGGACACGAAGTTCGATAGAGAAGTTCGATAGAGGAACAATAGGGCATGCAAACGATATTCAAAAGTGCCGATGCCTGTGCCTTTGGTTAGAAGGCTGTTGGTCTGCCTCGATCTGTCGCTGTTGATGTTGAAAATAATGAGCCATTGAAGACTCCACTGGTAGGCATCCAAACCCTAGAATGGTACTCGCAAATGTTGTCGAGTCATAATAGTACCATTATCAAATATCTTTATGAATGTAGCTCCTTTTATCTACTGGTACATCATTAAGTAAGAATCAAACACTGCCAGCGGTCGTGAGCAAGAAGTGAACCAAATTTCATAATCGGTCCCGATCATGTACTTACCCTTCTTGAAAAGTTCAAATCAGGTCACAATTGACTATTTTTGAGGAAGCCCCGCCCCCAGTAGGCGGAATCACTAGGCGGAACGGAATCACTACACCTATCACCTACCATTAGTTCTCCCAACTTGCCACCTACATCTCTGCCAAATTTGAGTAGTCTAGGCTTAGGAGCAAAGGGGTAACAGGTTTACGGCCAACTACGCTATTCGTGCAAGCCTCGCCACTAGTGGGCGGAGCCTAGCTTTGATCACGTGTACCCGACGAGTTTGGCTCATTCCCCACTTCTTCATCCCCAGTCCCCACTTGTTCCAACTTGTCTGAGCTGTTCCACTTGATTTCCAAACGATTCCCAAGATACAGTGATGGTGATAAGATAGTTACAGTGAAACAGACATACAAACATACAGACGTACAGAAAAACGGACATTTGTGGTTTATATGTAGTAAGGATTACGACTACGGATTACGACCCCAGCGAAGTTTGAAACTCATTGGAAGATCAAAGTTACTTTTTGTATTGGTATCATTTACGACAGAGCTCATGCGACCGCCAATAATCTGGTATTCTCAACGATTGATATATTCGTGGAAGAAAGCAGGTCCATTGATAACGACATCTGGTAGTGGGGTTATTATCGCTCGAGAACATTAGGGAGTACTACGCTATTTTTCGGTTGCCTATAAGTTGAGCCTCTAATGGTCATAATTTTTAGGATGAAGAACAACCCATCGGCACTTTTAATTATAGTCGTAAGCACCGGCACACCATAACTACCAATGGCGCGACCCTGCTTATGCCAGCTCCCCTCTTTTTGCGTCCTGTGTCAAAGT